CGACGCGGTGCTCCAGCCGCCCCCGCACCCCGACCTCCACCAGACTCGAACCACACCCACACCCCACCCACACCCACACCCACACCCCACCCACACCCACACCCACACCCCACCCACACCCACACCTACACCATACTACAACCACACCCACACCCACACCCACATCCACAGCCACACCCCACCCACACCCACATCCACACCCACACTCACACTTCAGTCTATCAATGAAGAAAGAAAAGAATATATACAGATCTCCAAAAACTTTCAGTAATGTTCTGTAAGCTCTAATGCTTGTTATGATAATCTTTATTTTTGAAACAATCATTTTTTCTCCTTATTATTGTCATGAATCGTACCAAAAATAAGTGCACGTTGATAAGGAGTAAAATTATCTAAAGATAGCTGTTGTTGATTGAGCGGCTTTGCCATTGCTGTAACAAAAGAAAAAGAAATTTTGCAATTGAAATCAAATATCTAGAAACTTACCTCCTAAGACCAGTTCTGTACTCCAATGCGTCAATGTGCAATTATTTCTAACCATTTGTTCGCGTTCCAATCGGAATTGTTCAAGTGTGTATTGTGTTGATACAAGCCTCGTCGGACTCATACTGACATAGGCCACGATGCGTAAAAGTTCAACTTTACCATAGTTGCTCTTTAGAGCTGTTGCCGGTGAATTACAATGTATCAAACGACTATCCCATACAACAAAATCACCAGCATGACAGTGAACGAGTTTTCCTATGGCACGACCTTCATCGAAAATCGGATGGGTCGAAGGCACTATGACAAAATCACGCGCTTTACTTCCAAGTCCTCGAAGTTCCGAGAATCGCAAATGTGACCTTGGAAAGACGATCAATCCGCCTGTTGATTCACTTTGATCTGTAAGAGAAACAAATCCTTGAACGCAACATCTGTTCGGCTTTGAATCTGGATTTTGATCGACATGGTTCCAACCGCTTTCTGTTTTCCATGTTTGATTATACGACCAATCTCGAAAGATGCCACAACCTTCGAAAGATACGAGAAGATCAGATCTATTCCACAATCGCTCGTAGACTCGTTTCACTTCACGATTCGATCGAATGTTCCACATGAAGGCAGACTGACCTAAACCATAAGTGTTTGTAACTCCATGGGAACGTATGCCTGGCCTAAAAATAGACAAATCGATTAAGTTCCTCTTTTAATCATTGATATAATGATGAAACTCAATTTTATGTCGAGAAGCACGAATATGGTTTTGTCTGTACATTTAGAAAATGATGTGATGCTATTTAAACTGAATCAGCTCTCCAAATCTTGTTGAAGAAAGCTTATAACCATTTTAAAATCTGCTCAGAAAACAGCATAGCTCTAAATTTTAAACCAACAGCGAGAAATAATATGAAAGAGTATGTTTTCTCTTTAGTACACGATCTATTACTTTTTGGTTGAATATATCTTAGTGGATTTGTAGATACTTATTAAGTACAACTGAATCAAAAGCAGATATTTGCATCGAAAGATTGCAAATCGAAAAACTTTAATTCAGATAAGTTTATTTTAATAAACGTACCAGTGATTCCATGTAGAGGGCCGATCTCGACGAATCCGATTGAAAGGTGGTGGGAGAGTCTCGAGAAATTGCCAAAGTAAATTCTTATTTTCTTCGACTTCCTCTAATTCCATAACATCACTGAAAACTGCATAACCATATTGATTCAAATGCTCAACACCTTCGTTAAATGTCGTTTGATTACGAACGGAAAAACGTGTTGATACACTAGTATCATCGATACGAAGACCATTTTTGTCGAGAATCATTTTCTGTTGCTCAATTTCGTTGTATATTACCGGTTTGGTTTGATTGTGAAGAGTTACTTTGATAAACTGCACCTTTTATTGACAACCGACGATAACAATATGCTTGCATTGCACAATATCACTAATATCGAGTGAAAAACAGAAGAAAATGACTCATGAGTGAAACAATGATGAAATAAATAAGATGATGATGTATTCAAATAACGTAAAACACTGTTGTAATGTGCTAAGTGATTTCCTACTATCCTTTTTGTTCTCAGAATTTCTGTACTTATTAAATTCATAACAAAAACGATTAATTCTCCAATGATGTAAGAGACTGGCGAAGTTTCTTCGTATATTTCAGTTTTATTACTTTTTCGAACATGTTACATAAACTGAAAGATAGTAGCGATTGATAGCAGGTGAATATGAGTGTATATCGATATTATTTTAATCCTTCCGAAGTCACAACTATAGCCACATACACATTCACATTCATATCCATATTCAAAAATGAATTCGAATAGAGCTCAGGATAACACAGTCAGATTTCTTAAGCTTAATGAACATGTATTAAAGACAACTGTGTAGTCGTTGATTTAAACGAAAGTCATTACAATTCAGAAGTGATTGATTGCTCATTGCACAGAATTGACTTTGATTCCTCGTATCATTTTAACCAGATCTTTAAAATACCGTCGATATCTTTTCCTTCACACTTCTTCTATAACGTTGATACGACTTTTAAAACTGAATAAACGACTATTCGAACAACTATGATCTCTTTTCTCTATTTTGAAACTGTCATATGACATCGTTATATAGATAGTATGTTGTTAAAGCTGCATAGACAAATGGCGAAAATGAACATTTACTATCGACTTCGAAACTGAAACTATTTATCATCAGAAATAAAAATTTATTTATTTTTAATCAGTAAAACGATAACTAATTTTACAGACGGCAGTTCGATTATGGAAGTATACGACTATAACACACCCTTCTATATTTCGCTTACCTATACTACACTAATTATTTCTAAAAATAATGATTCAAACAATGATTAATATGCTTTATTGTTGCTTATCAGATTGTAGAAATCAAAGAATTACAGTGCGAAACTACTTACAATTGCCTATAATATTTTTGTGTCAGTTTATCCAGCTTTGAAGCGAATGAACTTGATTTGACCTTAAGCCTACGTTTCGTTGAAATATGCGTCTTGAATGCACACTTCAGTTAGCTTGAAATAGTTTCAAATAGTCGACTGTAAAGTTTATCAGTAAGTCATCCACATGCTCTGCAGTTTTGGATTTATATTAAAATTTTTTATCAGCATCACGGCGATTTTGAAACAGCAGTTTTTTAATGCCGATTTTCCGACATGATTAGACTCATTCACTCTCTATGAACGTTAATACAATACAATCGAACATAAAGAGAACGCTGAGATGAGAAATTATAATACCATGTACATCGAAAATCAATTCTTATTCATGCAACATGAAATACTTTTCTCTTTCATCACTTATTGTAAAGACTGTGTCAACACAACGACAGTCAAAAAAAAGCAAATAGAAATATTTGCAACAAGTGACAGCACTACTCATTCTCACAAAACGAAAATCTAAAATTATACCTGATACGTATAAGCGATGACGGACAAAGTCTTCAAATCGAAAGATGATGTCGAATCATCCCTAATGAAGGATAACATAGTATGTGAGACAACCACAGAAATAGATGTTATTGCTGAAAACAAATCTTCCTACTGGTCCCATAATCCACGGTCACGTTTCGTCGAAAACTTTATCATCATTCGGTTAGACTCAGATTTCGACGAACACAATATAACGTATCGAAATGTTATCGCTCAACTTCAACAAGTCATTAACACAATTAAAACTTTCAATATCGCTGACGAATGTGTCAATTTTCTCAGTGAAATTGCATAGGAAAACGTTTTTATGATCGTTTCGAATGCTCTTGGTCAGCTAATTGTACCAACCATTTCGGATTTTACACAATTATATGCCATCTATGTTATATGTTATGAGCAGAATGTTGAATATGACATTTGGGCGAAAGAATGGAGAAAAATAAAAGGAGTATTTAGTCAGATCGAACGAATTTGTGATGCAATGAAACGAGACGTTTGTCAGTGTGCAAACGAGTTGGTTCCATTTAACATCATTAGTTCTACAAGCACATCGATACGTTCGAAAGGTGAACTACATCAATCGTTTATGTACACATATAGAGATCATTCTTAAAATGACCTTTTTTATTCGAGATCTTAATCTCGAAATCGAACGTCTTCATGCTCAAACATCGAGAAACAACACTGAAATTATTGTATATCGAGGTCAAGGTTTATCAAATGATGACTTTAATAAGTTAAAAACAAGTAAAGGTGAACTTTTCTCGTGGAATAGATTCTTGTCGACAAGCATTTATCAACAAGTTTCATTTATGTATGCAGATAGTGCACGACAGAATCCTAACCTAACTGGTATATTATTTCAAATACGTATCGAATATTCTCAACATTCAACTTCATTTACTATATTGGATAACATCAGCCGTTTTGGTGATCAAGAGCAAGAGGTCATTTT